GGGTTGAGGGGTTTAGGGGTGTGGGGGTTAGTAGATTTCTGGGCGCAGCCTAACAGCGATATAAACCCTGCACAAAGACCCGTCGAAGACCTAGGAAGACCCTAACAGGCCCTAACACAAGCCTTTTGAACCTGTATGATGACAGACGCCGGGATGCACACAGGACTTCATCGGAAGGGTTCAGGGCGCCGTTCGGGGCTCCACATCTAAGGACTACAGAGGGTTCAACGGCTCAGGGTAATCCCCAAAAATCCTAAACTCCAAAGCCTGAGCCCTAAACCCTGAACCCTTGACCCTCTAAACCCTGAAGATTCGATTTGGGACTCTTTATGGTTCGGGACATAAGGTTTGTGCGCTTCTGAATCTTACAGAGGCCCTGGCGTGGTCGAGGGCATCGTGGCGTTGCGCCGTGTGCGCTCGCGCTACATCAGCTGTCGTTGAGGGTGTGGGGGGAGGGGGGGTGTTGTTCCAAGTTTGGGCACTTGATGGGTTGATGTTGCGTCGGGTGTGGACTTGCTTTGGGGGGTTCCTTGTCATAGTTATCGTACAACATACCCGAAGAATCCTATTCTAGTTATAAAAGCCGTGCTGGTGGAGCGTTGTCTTGTTTAAAGTCGAAGACCGAGGCGCTTGGGACGAGGTGTGTGATAGAGGTAACATGCGAGCTTCGAAGGATTGGTGGGTCTCATAGTGGCTTGGGGGGCAGGGGTAAAAGCGAATACCATGAGCTTAGAGAAGGGGGTGGCATGATGTGCCTTGGAGCCATGAATCTGCGACAGGAGGTGAGGCAAGCAGACGTCTACACCAGGGGCGTGAAAGGGTGAAGGATTCAAGTCCAGGCACGACGTCCGACACACGAGAGTACACAACTCTAAAGAATGTGACTACAACAAAACCCCATTGTCTAAACCCCTGGTTTGGAGAACGCAATACCAAAGTCCGACCCAAGAGGTCTTGAAATCGCAGCCGGGGATATTCTGAGTACAGAGTCCGGGGTACACTAGAATCAAGACAGGGGTATACCAAAGTATCACTAGATAGGGACTACACGCGGGGAGTTCTTGCTAGTGACTAAGACCTGGTAATACTACTGAGCAGCAAACCCCAAGCCTCATGAAGCCTGATCGTCCATGCGGGGACGGATCAGAGTGCGCAAGATCGTGAGCAGTCATGCGTAACTTCAGCTCAAGGTTTAGGGGTTGGATTTAATATCTAGCGTGTCGACACTGTGGATAAACACAAAGGCAGAGGTATGACTATATCAGCTTAGCTTAGGGCTGTAAGAAATCGTGGGGATAGCGACCTCTCTCAAAGCCCCAGTTGCAAATACCCAACATCCTTCTAGTTGGGGCCGATGCTGTAGAGACTTGATCAAGAAGTTGAACGGCTGGAAAGCGAAATCCGGCTTCCCCCACGCTGCAGGTCACACAAATTCCCATATGTCCCCTTATAAGTCTGCCCTTGAAACCCTCGAAGGAACCCTAAACCCCTAAAGGAGCCCAAGAAGCCCCTAAACCTTAAACCCTAAACCGCTAAATCCTAAACACTAAACTCCTAAAGAACCCCTCAAAAAACCCCATAAAGAAGAACTTAAACCCTAAACCCTCAATGTTAAAACCCAAAACTCCAAAACAACCCCTCAAAAAGCCCATAAAGAAGCCCTTAAACCCTAAACCCCTAAGGGAGCCCTCAAAAAGCCCCCGCGAAGGAAGAAGCGAAGCTGCAGCCTCCGGGAGATCTCAGTCCTCCTTTCGCCTGGAGAACTTCCGGATAAAAGGAGGGTAGGGTTTAGGGTTTAGGGTTTAGGGTTTAGGGTTTAGGGTTTAGGGTTTAGGGTTTAGGGTTTAGGGTTTGGGGGTTAGAGCTTAGGGCTTACGGTTCAGGGCTCAGGGTTTAGGGCTTAGGGAGGCTTGGGGTTTAGGTTTTAAGGCTCGGGTTCGGAATCCCCATAGAGTCTAGTGTTGAGGGTTTAGTTGTTGTTGTTAATCGTTCAGGGCATAGGCAAGGTGGAGCTGCACAGGGTTGGGAGTTTAGGGGAGTAGCATCGGCTCAAGGCTTCCATCAGGGTTCTGTGGCGCCTGTAGGCTTACCGCAACGGGGTTCTGTATCTGCTTCTGTTCCTGCCACTGTGGGGTACTAGTTAGAATACGCATGATTTAGAGCAGTTTGTTCAAGGGTTACTATGAGGGTTTAGGGGTGTGGGGGCTGTGGTAGTCAATCAATATGGGGTCTTTTTGTTGGGGAGGGGTGGGATGCATTGTCGCATAAATGCATGCGTACTAAAAGGGGCTAATAGTATCAACCTCTAAAGTGCT